TTTTGTTATAATGATTAATGATTTGAAAATAGTATCCCCGCGTTCCAGTAATTGGAAGTACGTAGACGACGTGACGATATCTGAGATTGTCCCAACAAGAGAGATATCTATACTACAAAACGAATTGGACCCAATTGGTGATTGGGCAAGTACCAATAATATGAAATTGAATCACAAAAAGTGTAGGGAGATGATCGTCTCCTTTCGACGAGATATTGAGCAGCCCCCTCCCACCTTAGTTGTTGAAAATATTAGTCTTGAAAGAATAGAATCCCACAAAGGATTAGGTTTAGCGATCCAGAATAATCTGAAGTGGGATTTGCACATCAGTGAGATAGTAACCAAAGCATAAAAGAGATTACACCTCTTACGAGTTCTCAAGCGCAGTGGAGTTTCATCTTTTCATTTGCTACGTGTATATTTTGCACTTATTAGATCCCTACTCGAATACTGCTGTCCGGTATGGCATTCATCATTGTCCATCAACTTGTCAGATAAAATTGAACGGGTCCAGAAGCGCACAATGCGAATAATCTCTCCCACACTAAGCTATGATGCAGCTCTAGACCAAGCCAAATGTTCGACATTACGCGCAAGACGTGATGCTTTGTGTACAAAAACTTTTGACAAAATGAGACAGCCTTAATCATTTAATACCACCGTCTCGGGCCAATGAACACAGTTGATAATTCGCCTTATTACGTTTTCGTAGCGCTTTGCATTGTGGTTATAGTGGTATCACTGATAAAGATAGTGGCCTCGAATGAAAATATTGAATGTTTTCGCGAATATTTTGCTGTTGGCTATCGCGCACCTGACCCTAGCTTTTTTTTAAATTCTTGCACGGGTCAGGACAAAAAATAAGCCATCTTGAATATAGGTGATGCCACTATAACCACAATGCAAAGCGCTACGAAAACGTAATAAGGGGAATCTAGTATTGCAATTTAAGGTATACGGAAATAGACTAACACTGTTTCCTTGTAAGACGGAACTATTTCCATAGTATAGAAATTGCAATTAGTACGAAAATTGGATTTCCATATTACATTTCCAACGAAGATCCATACTACTTCCATGCAAGGATTTTGAAAAAAAATTCCAGACGTGAGTGTATTTATTTTCCCTTATATTATACATATACCCACCTAGACAGCCTATACTTCCATCTAAGCCAATATAATTGAGATTATATGCTGCAGCTTCTACTTCTCTTTCATCCTCCTGAGTCCAGTCTCGTTGTTGAAATAAATCGTCTTGACGGAATGCAGCGTTGTCGTCAAAATTAAGTTTGGCATCCATACACACAACTATATAAATTGGGATCCAAAAGCAAATAAGCTGGTGATTGTAAATTAAAGTTTTACGTTTCTAATTAGTTGTTTTCACATCGATGACAGCTATTAGGTATATATCTGTAAAGTCCGTCATATGTCGATTGGATATCTCTCGTAGATGGTAAATATTTTTTGTCTCTGAGACAGTGGCCACACTCGAGTATCTCAATAGCCCAGCGACTTCATGCTCAATTACAAGTTGAGGCATTCATTTTTCTATTCATATTCTCCAACATAGTTACAGTAATTCGAAAGAAAAATGACAACTACTTGCGCTAATAAGAATTACAAAACATCGTATTCACGAAGGTATGTGGAAAGTTTTATATTCTTAATTTTCGATATAATATATCATTTATAGACCTTCGCTCGGGTGATTCGGCGAAATCTTACCCTCAGTGATATTTCCCTCGGGGATATCATCACTCCGGGTAACATTACGCCGAATCCCCCTCGCTCCAGGTTTATAAATGATAAATATATTATTAAACTAGTATATATACGGTATAAAGTTTATTGGACAAATAAATCAGTGCGAACAACTACAGTCTACAGGTCTAGCTTTCTTGCCACAAATCTACTGTACCTCTTCCAAGAGAATCCTCAGCCATAGGATTGATCTCGATTAGTAAGGCGTCTCTCTCAATAAATATTTGGTAAAGTTTCATTATTGTATCAGCAGCAGACGGTACACAGCTTTCAGAGAAACCCATTGTTCTGGCAAATTTTGTGGCCTGCTCCAGACCTAACCCTAATAAAGTACCGTAACAATAAGATTACACATAACTACGTATTACGCTTCCCATTATGATATGCTTAACACAGAAAAAATTATTGAGAATTACTCTTGAGTCGTTTCATGTCTTACTGCCAGTGACATGCTTTTCATACTTGAACTAATAGGTAACGTAGTAATGTTCTAGCTAGAACTTGCAGTCCTAGTTCCTTCGATGTCATGATATACATCCTGGATTTCAAATAAAGCGGAAGTGGTATGGCATGTTTTTTTTTCATTTAACGACGATTGCAGATACCAAGCATAGTCGTCATGCCCATGGTATTTGAAGCATACCAGTCCTGTGTTACTTTTCAACAGTAATGCGTTTGCTTTGCTTTGTGCGATAAAAATAACGCTCTTGACAACACCCACGGCCCAAATTATGCCGGCCCTGGGCAACTGGACTATTCGATTGAACTTCACCACCCATACTGCGCCGGAATTGGATGCACTACAAAATTGTGTAATGCAAACCAAAAACGGTTTAACAGTTTAATCGAACCGAAATTTACATTCAATAGTGAATTATGAATGGTGATAATTGTTGAATAACTTAAAACACAGAAGTATCATACTGTAAGTAACTACTGTACAGTAACTAAAGAGTTCTTAAAACGTTCTGTACAAATTTTGGGAACTAGGAAGTTCGACTCTTCCTTAAGAATACGTATTGATAGTGTTTTTGCTGGCAGCAATCTAGACAATTTATTATTAGAGCACCCAATTTGGAGTAGGAGGCTTTTTGAAAGAAGTAGGCGGCTATGTGGTAGTCATGGTGGTGGTAGTGTGTGTGTGTGTGTGTGTGGGGTTGTCTGAGGGCTTACGTCTCTCTGTGAAGATTATGAAATTTAAACTCTCTGAAATGATATGTCTAGTCATTTCGGAGACTTATATTTTGGAGGTTTTGTCATTTTATGCAAACATTTAACAAAGACTGCGGTAAGGAGGAAATATTTGGTAATAACCGGCGATTGTCTAGGCGATTGTTATCGAGTCAATAACAATTTGTGAAAATAATTTTCCACAAGCCTTTTTTGACCTTCTTTCAGAAAGTGTTGTCAGTTTGCTACGTTTGATTGCTTCGTCATACGACAACTCTGGGTACACCATTAAACAGACTTTTTGAGATAATCTGCCTCGCTCAATGTGCGATGAAGAAAAAAAAAATGACTTGGCTTGATGTGGCGAACTACCATAAACGATTGCTGACATCATAGCCTGGGTCGATGGGCAAGGACGTTGTAACAAACACACTCTACTATAGACAGGTTTTGGCTAAATCAGTCTTACCTTTATTAATATCCACGGGTTCTTTAAATATGGCATCTGGATGTTCCGCAGCAACCTTCTCTATATCTACTCCACCTTGGTGACTTCCAACAAGTACTGGACCCTAGAAATAGAAGAAACGTGATATTTTAGAGTGCTGGTTTCGGTAATTTGTAGTTAGAAAAGCACAACAATAATGGTAACTAAATCCAAGGAATTTTTAAATCAAGGCTGGATTGTGGTGTAAATGCTGGGAGAGGCGGCGGGCACATTCTAGGGTTGGTGCAGCCATTTGGACCCACCCTCTCTGGCATGTTAGGGTTCACGACGTGCCCCTCTAAAGTCGACAACATGACTATATACAGTACATGTAATGTACAGTATATACGTGTCAATGTATTTATGAATTATGATTGTATGACTACAAAGTAAAGTGTGTACTATAGACCGTTTTCCACTTCAAGCGTACCATACCGAAAAGTAGCAAAAAATTTAAAACTTGGTTAGTGCTTCCGTAGTATGTCAAGAAATTGATTTGCGACGAACTATTCATTTTGGTACGCGAATACACTCGGAAGTACATGAATTTATCAACATATCGTCAATCTACGCATGCCCGCCAGTACGGTACGTTTCGGTACGATACAGTTGAAGTGGAAAACAGGTTTAAAAGGGACACATAAATGAATGATATTCATAATTTATTACATTTGAAGTGTAGACCTTAAGCAACACAAAAAATTAATAACAATAATTAAAGTTACTGTTAAATTTGACTTTGATATATCAAGGGGAGGGGCATCAGTTTTCAGCGGAGATGGAACAATTCTCAGAGTAGTTGCAAAACGATATCAGCGGAGGTGCGCATCTCTTCACTCCTCCCCTCAAAATCCAGCATGATTAATTAAATACTAAACAAATGAAATATCGCTCACTTACAGTAGGATATTTTAAACTGGATTATACTTTACAACAGCAATATACTGTATGCAATGTAATTAAAACAAATTTGTGCTTTTGAGTTTTGGACGACATCAATGTCTATATTTCTCTTTCAACACAGTCTTATTGTTACTAAAAATATCTAAAACCTTAGTTAAAACATTGAAATCCTACTATTTACAAATAAAAATTGGCGTTCTATATTAATTTCGCTGTTATCATATAGCCTCGTCAGGCGGATTACTGACGACGCTGTGATAACAGCGAAATTAATATAGAACGCCAATTTTTATTTGTAAATAGTAGGATTTCAATGTTTTAACTAAGGTTTAGATTTTCAGTAACAATAGGACTGTGTTGAAAGAGAAATATAGATATCGATGTCGTCCAAAAGCACAAATTTAACTCTTTCCTTGCTTCAACTAAGAGACTTTCATATAATTATGTAATTAAAGTAAGAAAGAATAGAGGTAAATTCGTTTAAAATGTTAATAGATCTTGTCCGTTTATTGTTTTGGCAACAGGAAACAAAAAAATGTGGTTCTGAATGCAATCTTAGCCACGAGTGTTACTGAGTATATATCGCTGAATAGGGCCTACAGTATTTTTGTGAATTTTGTCAAAATATTACTTGTTGTTTGCCCTTGGAGTCAAATCATCTACTGAAAAATATTTTCTGAGTATCCCAACCGGGAATCGAACCCAAGGTCTCTGGTTTATCGTACCAGCGCTCAAACCACTCAGCTGCCGGTATTGCCCGATCTAGACACACATAATTACTATGTATGCACAAACGTGGGATATCTAATTCACTGATACATATCAACAAAAACGTATTATAATGATTATACTCAACCGCGTTGTATACGCTCATACAGATTGCTTAATATTTAAATTCGTTTAAACTGACATACAGTATTATGCTGTTAGTATTTGTTCTTACCATAAAAGATCTTTCCATCGTTATTGCAAAATAATACTCTCTTCTGGAATATAACCTCTCACAAATCAAGACCTATGTGGTGAGCATAATGTTAATCAGTATCTCTTTATTCAGTATAAGTTTAATAAAAGAATACTTACCGTACCCACGTCATGCAAGTATTTGGTGGTATTTATTTAATTGATAGCGTGGAAGTCTGGACGTCCCGGCGTGGTTTTATGCCTTATGTATTCAATAGCGAACTTAAGCAAGACTTAATCTAGTACGGAGACCTGACAAGAAACTGTCTTAAGGTTACAGGATACCTTTTGCAGGACACCTTTTGCTTTCATTGGTCCACGCAGAATATCAGAAACTAGCTTCCTGCTGTACTACTAGAGGGTACGGTAAAAAAATGAAAGGCAACATTACTGTAATCACCTTGTTGCAAAGTCTGCCTTTCTCTCCAGTTTGCTTTGTGAATAGTTTCTTTCCAATCATCCTCGCTGCATATTCCTTACATTCCTCTGGACTGCGACAGAATAGAATATTTGCAGAAGTCAAAAACAGTATTTCGAAGAAGAGTACACCCAGCAGAGTAAAAGCGAGACATACAGTAGCAACTGGTCATGTGTGCATATTTTTATTATTTTATTTATTCGCCTCTTCGAAATGTACAACTGTTGCCATGGCCAGGTTCGATCACTGACATCCAATAAATTTTATCCCCGAGCCAATGGTGCAGAGCGCTGTTCCAGGCATAAGCCCGGGGCGAGGGTGCTACTGTAATTCCGCACGGCTATTTAGCCCCAGGGAAAGGAAAGCATTAGCAAAGTCTAAAGTTCGTCAATAATCGTGGGATATGGTTCACCGTTCATCCTCACTGATCTCAAAAATGTGGCAGACTATCATGAATAGGGAACACTGTTTGACCAAATTTAAGATTTGCATTATATTAAGCCATTAAGCTGCAGAGCTTCCCCATTGATGAGTAAAATCACCTGAAGAAGTAGGGCCCACTGGGGCGCACTTCGGCTCAATAGGTTAAACAATTGCATGACAACCTCAAAATCTAGCCATAGCATGAATCAATATTATGAAACTGAAGCTACAATGAATGGACAAGTGATGGGATATTCCATATTTCATTTGCATCTACCAACAACATATAACAAACAAATTTAAAAATAGTCAACTACTTGGCATCTATGGCACAAAATTTTTCAGCAAAGGCTAAAATGGGTCATTCCAGAAAACATCCATACCATCCCCACAGAGGAAATAGAAAGTTAACCCCCCTACCCTCTTCGGATGTCCTAATACATTTACTATTATCAGAAACAATTTTTTCTCCCCTCCCCCTCTGGATGGCAGAAATTTCTTCCATGGGGGAGTATCGATCTTTTCTGGAACGACCCAATTATGTTTATATCATGATTACAAATAAGGATGTGGTAGATGCGGTGGATGCAGTATGATAGCATGGAGTATATAAACTAGAAAAAAATCCCCTAAAAAATTGGCACAACATGGAGCACAACTTGGAGACAAAAATGTCCTGCAGACCAATTAACGGTGTATTTTTTTGCTAAATCTGCATGTGCATAAACATATTATATAAATGTTCTAGCTGACCATGGTTTTAAATTCAAGGAATAATGTCTGTCAAGCATATGTTGTTGTGCCCACAGTGGGACATGGGTGTTAACTAGAGGTGTGCATCGGATTGGACGTTTATAATCCGACAATTACCTAATGTTTAAAATCCGATCCGAAATTGTCTAATCCGAATCCGAGTTTTGATAAAGAATAATTCCAATCCGATCCGATCCGAAGAATTCTTTAATAAAATAAATTTCTCATTCAAGTAATCAAGTTGAAATATTTAACCAAATAAATATAAAATCAAGAAATACATGTCAAGAAGCTGACAAAGCACTTGACGTCCAATTGAACTATCAAACGAATAATGCAGCGACAACTGCGATAATCTTTGATAAATGCATGGATAATTAATTCTTGCGATAATGCGTGGATAATTAATTCATTTTATTTGGGATATCGAAGTCCGATCCGATCCAATCCGACTACGAAACAACTTTATCAATCCGATCCGAAATGAATATTTTGGTTCCGAAATCCGAACAAGTCCGATTGGATCGGCAGTGGCGGAAATCTTGGTGGGGCAGGGGGGCGCCCCCCCCCCCCTTCACGGAAAACTGATTAATTTTCGGAAATTTTGACCTAAAAGAGGGCTAAAAACAGTCTTTTTGAGTGCAAATGGGGGGGGGGGGTGTCGGAAATTTGACAGTTTTGTCGGAAATTTAGGAGGCTTTGCCCCAACAACGGAGAAAGTGAATTTCCGCCACTGCGGATCGGATTCAATTTGGATCAGTTTCGGATCAGATTTGCACACCTCTTTCAAACGAATTTCCTGCAGCTATTTAACATATTTCCTGCGAGCAGTGCTCGCATATTGTTTCCACCCCTGGCTACAACATGACGGATCCAAATGGATTCAATCTTTGGCAATATTATAGCAATAAGCAATTCATATGTTTAGCTATAGCCATAAAAACACAATTCCGACTTGAATACATAGATGTGATAAATTTTAAAAATGTACTAGTCAGAGATGAAATATTTTTGTCCTAAGTAGCCTCAAATGAATTAGTGCCACACCAAGGTCTTGCAGGCTCAAGTTCCTGCTGGGGGCCATTTTATAGGCCGAGCAGATCAATAGGTCTAGAAATGTTTTGGGCCGAGCAGATCAATAGGTCTAGAAATGTTTTTTGTAATCTGTCGGATATTTAAACCATCCCTTGAGAATCTTTGCTTCTTTTATCTGATTCTCATTAGAAATGTACCTAGTAGTGACAGTATTGTACTGTAGCAAGACATTTTTATTGTTATTTGTTGATTTGGATAACATAGAAACAATAACAAAAGCCCACAATATTAATACCATGGTGTGATACTAATCCTTTAAAGTTAATACACAGTTTCAAACAATTTACCTAAAACAATTACCTAAATACAATCCTCACTCCTCCATGTAAGCCTCCTTCAAACACACCTTTTCCTCTGCCACCAGCAAGGACTTGTGCTTTAAGGACCAGATCATCTGCACCTACAGTTATATACATATCATAATGAAGTTGAATAGCTTAGTCATAGACTTTTGGAAATAGTAAATTATCATGAATCCGACCTCTTTACAGAGGTGGGAAATGTATCGGAACCTGAGAACATAGTTCCCCGAAAGTTTTTGGGGATCTACATTCTGCAGATTTCACAGACATTTTTATGTTTGACAGCTAATTCTGAAAATGACACTAAGGGGCGGACCATTAAAAATTTTTTTTCAGTCTCATGTCTCTCCAGGATTTTTTTTAATGCATTTAACCTCTGCACGAATTTTTTTTCAAGACTATTTGTACTTTGCTGTTTGCTTGCACAAATTTTTTTTCTCTGACGTAATGGTAGTCTCCCTCGCAGACGTTCTTATAGCTCTAACCCTCGCTAACTAACGTCTGCTGAAACAAGCTGCACATTCCATTCCCTTTGTTTTAGGAGCCAATCATCTGGCAGTGTTCAAAAGAGTTAGAGCCAATTGGAAGCATGTTTACTTGCATTGAAATTTGTTTACTTGCATGGAGATATTTTGGAAACTAAAGCCTTGAACTTCACGATGTTTACGTAGAATAATATTGTGATCATCTTCTCGCATGTTACGCAAACAACCAGCGTATATAAAATGCAAAAGCTATGCAACAGGCGAAATTTTAAATTTTGTTAACAATGACAAACAAGCAATTGGGAAACTCGAGAACGAGTAAATCAGGATATGACCAAATGTTGCTATTAAATTCTTCCGATATGCCATGGCTTTGATGAAAAATTCTAAAAGATTAAGTTCTTGCTGCATGTAGAAAAGTAATAGCGAAGTTACATGTATAAACCTTTTGAAGTTTGGGCGTACTGGAAATTCATATCGGTGCAATTAAAAGTTTCTCGGGTTTTATTTGTGTTGTGTTTACATTCAAAAGTCAGAAGTCATTGCTCAAACAGCAAATTAGTTTACTTTGAAACTAATATTTTGCTTTCTAAGCCACAGTATTATATCAAATTTTCTGTCTTCTGTTCTGTTGTCTTAAAGATATATATCTGTCAAAAGTTCAAATTTCAGCGAAATATATTCTGCATTTGATGCTGTCGCCACTAGATTAATACAGTATGCCCTCGAGTATGCCATCCTGTCCACGTTTTAAATATAACCGAACATCTTTAATATCCGAATCTGATAACTAATAGCGCATTTTATTTCCTGGACAAGTATGAAAGTATCAATGTCTTTAAATTCAATTTATGTGCAATTTTGACCAAAATTCAACCGACGACTGCTTTCAAAATATAAAAATATTTATGTACTATTTATTCCGCCCGTAAATCACTTTCCGAAATATAGAAGGTTCGCTGTGATTGGTCGATCGGAGGGAATGGAATGTGTAGCTCGTTTCAGCAGACGTTAGTTAGCGAGGGTTAGAGCTATAAGAACGCTGCGAGGGAGACTATACTCTTCCTATCGTGAGAATTTATATTAAACCTGCATGGCGGCTAACGAGGTTATTCATGGCATTTACTCTGTCAAACATATTCACGGGCAATTTAAAACTTATTTAAAACTCCAAAACATTCACTGCCTGTCAACAATCAAGATCCGGTACACGGGAAGACATTTTGTCTCATATGAACGCAGTGATATAACTTTTCATATTATTTTCATAACAAGGCAAGATCCCGCGTGTAAACTTGTCGAAAAGTTTTCTTGTTAACAGCGATAACTTTTGCCCACATGAACGGGCCCCTTAGTCAAAACAAAATGTAAATCACATCACAGAACATATTAGTGAGGAAAATACGGAATAATTAAAACAATATCATGAAAATTATGAAATAAGGTGAGAATTTAAAAATCTATATCAATGTCTGCTTATGTATCATGTATTTTCTTTGCCTAAAAGTTATCCAAATCTGATTGGTTTATTTTGTCACGTGATCCCTTTTATCTATATGTACTATAGTAATATCTTATACTAATAAAATTCGGTGCTACATGGACCATCATCGGCTGAATATATGATTTAATTATAATTCGAAGAATAACTGCTTAATTAATATCACTATATAAAAGGTACATGCAAAGCAGAGGATGTATATTTATAAATGTTCGCGGAAGCTTTTGAGGAGTGTTAAATGGACTTTATTTGGCTAGGAGATCAGTCCGCTCAGTGCTACAGCCAATCATGCAGATTGCATGAAAAGCCAGGATTTTGTGGTAACCAATTTATTTCTTACATTAAATTACCTGCATCAAACGTGGTTTCAAAAATCCTGGAGTTGGTCTTGGTACTTTTCTATTCACAGGATGAGATGGCTGCTGGCGCTGCTGAAAGATAATAATACTAATATAGTACGTAGTTTTCGATCCGGATTTTTGGAAATTAAGGAATCAGGAAGAATTAATTAATATCCATAATCGTGAGAAGGAAGGTACGTGGTTTGGGCAATATGAGGATGCGTAATTCTATTATCAGTGATCGGCGCCCATGGCAGTGGAGCCCGTTGAGGCACCAACTAACTGTAAGTGTCCGCCCATTGTGGTGGAGCCCATTGAGGCATACATTACTATTGATATGCCTGTATGATGATGATGCAAGAAATGAAAAACAATATTGGTTTATAAATTATGGAAAAGAGCTTCAAGGTCTTGTTAGAAATGAGCGGGAAATTGAGTCTCACTTCAATATTCATTCAGGATTTGTGAATACTTTTTTGAATGATAGTTGTGCTAATATTAAATTAGAAGGTTATACGATGGTCTTATTCTTTCTACTTATTTGACACACATGCCAGAGACTTTAGTGGTACGTATGCCTATCCCAATGGCACGGCTGTTGTCATGAAATGTAGAAATATTCTAGACTTAGAGCAATATTTGTATTCTTTGTCAGTGGAACTCCATATTAATTTATTTGAAATAAATTTATTTGAGTTAAATGTGCAAAAGATATAGAACAAAAGACGCTCAATAGAAACTGAAAGCACTAAACAATCTGGGCTTGAAAAATCTAGTAAATATAATAAAAAAGGAAAGCGATCATAGGGAACTGACAACGAGAAACAAAACAGACTTCAAAAAGAAAGCTGTCAAAGGAAACTGAGAGTGAGAGACAAATAAGACCAGAAAAAAGTAGACTTTATCCAAAACAAAGGCGTGCATGCAAAAAGAGTGTCACAGCATGCACCACAATGAAATGAAGCAACACGATAATTTAAACTGATATGTTTGACATCGCTAATGGTGGTATTGAAGGGCAATGTTGGGTAAATTCTAATATGAACAAGGTTCATAAGTCTGTGAAATATATTGTCAGTCAGTGTACATTATGTCAAGAGGCATGACAAACGTATGTTCACGATTTTTAAAAATTTTCATCTCAAAACTCAATGATACACTGTACCTTCATCTGTGCCGTAGGAATTGCAAAATTTAACTCAGATTAAGAAATGCATGTTACAAGGCATTTTTTAATACCATGGACTGGTGGAGTACTTGCTCATTGGGCCCCTTCCTCTGCCCCAACACTGAAGAAAAAAAATGGCCTATTGCCCCAAAGCTTGGGCCCTAGGACCCAGGGCCTTTTTTAACATACAAGCTGGGGGTCAAATGCCCCCCCCAAGTCCCCCTTATGTCCGCCCACGAAATCACATTTTGCCCCCAGGAAAAGTCCCTTTTTCCTAAATTTATACAAACAAACCATGCAGCAAAGACATAGAATAAAGATCCATATAGAAGGGCCACTTACGTCGGAAGCTTTGAAGTTTCTGTCCTCGCGCATGTCGCATTACGAATATTGGCCGCCATTTTCCTAGCCAGTCAATGACATTTGTGGCCAATAAACACGCTGTACTGGCTGGCTGCTCCACCTTCTGGCCAGTAAATGCATATTTTTGCATAAAAAAACGTGGACACGTTACACCGCTGAGTGGCCCTTCTGTTGTTACTGATCTTTATTCTGTGGCGAAGAATCATAAATAGATAAACGGAAAGCAAATTTTAGGCTTTATCCTTAGTCCTTGTTTAACAAAATCGATTTTATTTCTACCACTAAGTGATGATAAATTATTGTAACTAATAATTATTATAATTTTGGTGCGTTTTTCCTTCTTTTATTTCAAATACAAGTACAGTTAGCATAAATTTTGGAGCAAATTTGGAATGCTCAGAATGCAGGAAATGGCATTTCCGGGTTTGAAATTTCAAAAATGTTCTGGCAGAGAATGCCCTTCTTCGTGGCCTTCAGCCATTACCTATCCCCCTCTAATATATTATCTCACAAGAAGGTCCCTTTTCAAAAAATGCCCCCCCCCCTCCCAACGGGGAAAATCCTTAAAAAGGCCCTGCTAGGACCTGTATTGAGTAAATGAGTTTAACATTGAAAAGAAGTTTAAAAAACAAAATTTGTTGGTGGGCATACTTAAACTTATGTCATGTTTGAATGTTTAGTGAGCAATTTATTACACATTTCACCATTAAAACTTTGTTTTGAGAAGCTGAGATTTTTTTAAATGTGCTCTCAGAATGCAGGAAATGCTATTTCAGAGAACCAAATTTTAAAAATTTCCTGGGAGAGGGACATGCCCCCAGCTTCAACCCCCTAGCTAACTCGTGCCTGCGATACTCCGCTCACACCTTCGGCGATTGCATACTATGCTGGGGGAGGGCAAGGAAAATGGGTCCTTTGGAAGTTTTGCCTCACCACTGAAGAATCCTTAAAAAATGCACTGGCATGTTAATTGCTCGTGCTCTCCCTTGTAGAATCCAACATATTTATAACTTAATTTAGACCTATTTCTTCTCTATTTAGCCCTATTTTTTCTATATTTTTTCAAAAATATGACTATTTTATTACTATTTATCAAATTTCATAAAATAGTATGTGACTATTTACACTCTATTTAAAACATAGGTTATTTATATTTTTCAAAAAAATAGCTTTGAAATAGGTATTCAAATCCTATTTGA